ACAGTTGTTACAAGCCGATACGTTTGGGTCAACAATATGATACAGTAATTATATAATAGTATCTATTTTATGAATCATCCAGGACTACAGTTGGAAAGGCAAGTGGTCAGAGGTAGTGGCGACACTGATGATTACTACCAGGCCCCTCCTTCCCTTGGTGATCAAAGATACGTCACAAGTCAGGAAAGTGACCGCGGGGTGCGTCAAACCCGTGGAAGGGTAGGTATATTAAACGATCATTTTGCGGCTCTCAAATGCACAGAAAAAATCGCTTTAGGGCAAGTTATAGACCAAAAACAATTTTTAAAAAATTTTCATGTRGTCAAAGATGGATCAAGAAGTATTCTTCAAGAATTCAGGTGTTTGCATTTTAGCAAACAATCGTACATTATTGTTTTTTTGACAAGCATTTTTATCGACGAATCGAAAAATCAAAGACTTTCTCTCAAAACTTTTTTATTTTTCTATAGATAAGCTTAATTTATTTCAATACTGGAGGAAAAATAACACGAACAGCATATTACAACAAATATTCGTCCTTTATTTAGCTCTATAAATCTTTAACAATTCGGTTGTTTTTAACCAACTATCGTATGTCTTTCGTTCAAGAAAATTAAAAATGCAGCTTTGGTCGCCTCCTATCGCGGGGTCCCATCGGCAAAACAAAGAAGACTTTCATTCAATAATTTTATATCTTTCTACAGATAATTTATTTAATTATTGGATGAAATATAAAGTTACACCAAATATTCAAGTGTTCATTAAGCTGTTCGAGCAAGTATGATTATAAAAATGAGCTTAAATTTGTGTTGTTGAGAGATGTTATTATATAGACCAAGACTTTCACTTTCAATATTCAAAAACATTTACAAACGCCAATTTACTGACAAGAAATTCATCATTTTGTATTTTGCTTTGCCTTTTGCATTGTTTTCTATTTTGTCTCACTGAGTTGTTCTTGTCAAGTTTAACTGAATGTTAACTTCGTCTCGTTCTGTAAAAGACATAAGTAAACTTAATTTTCTACTCACCTTAACCAGTTTTCAAGTCTGTTTTTTATTCTTGATTTGCCCTAAATCTCCAGATTTTCGATTTCAATGAAAGACATCCTAGGTAAATTTCACTAAACTTGATATTGAATTGGATTATCTGTAGTTTTCTTTCGTTTTTTTAAGTAAAAGAGATTCAAAGCATAAAAGTGTCGGCCTTGGAAAACTTTGTCGAAGAATCTTCCAAGAACAAAACTAACCCCTGGGGGTGGTGGTGAGTTGTGTACAAAATCTCCCCCCTCCCCCAACAACAACAAAAATAAAACAAAAAACAGTGTACTGCATTTCGATTCGATTTGACTGCATGGTTTTCATTATGGGAGAAATTATGTTCATCTCGAATAAAAAATAATTGAAGATTTTTTCCCCGATCTTATTTTTACCTTTCAGTTTCATTCAAATTGTTCTCCCTGTGACTTCCGTATCGGGAGCTCCGCTCTATTTAGGAAGTGGCTAAATATATATATTATTAACTTTTAATTTTTAATTTTCCTTCAGAAAGCGAGGAATGTACAAGAAAGTGAGGAGTCCATGTACTTAGAAGTAAGGAGATAAAAGAATAGGCATGCGGCACGAGACTGTGGCACCTGATTATAGATGTACTGACCGATTAACTTTGTCTTGACTTATCCATTTATGATTTTGTTAATATATATAGTATGGAACGGCTGAAAACTAATGTTTTCGTGATCAGTAACTTTCTGTTTTTTCAAAAAAATTTTTACATGATTGAAATTGACGAACAAACAACAGAGATTTAGAGGCTGTCATTAGAGGATAAAGTGTACATTTAGACTAAACAAATTTTAAATCAAAGATAATAAACAAGATTTATATTTCAGTTTGCCTTATGTCAAAAGATCTCATTAATAGTGTTCTTTTCTTGGTTTTGACCTACGTCATTATGATCGAATTTTAAAACCGTCAATTCATATTATAATACATTACATTGACAACTGACACACATGATCCCCCGCCCCCCTACCCTAGAATAACCTTGCAAGACACCCTCAAAACAATAATCAAGAACTCAAACTCAAAAAAAACAAAACGCAGAACACATGATCGACACTCAAAACAAAGGTCCAATACTGAATTCAAAGCGTTCAAAACAAGAAAGTCTCAACACTCTATACACAACAACCATATCAAGGTCAAAAGCTCAAAAAACCCAATGCACAAATTTAATTGGAAAGTACCCAAAACTAAAGCAAATGGGAGATCAAATGGGTATCAGCTTTCCTTGCGTTAATTACGGTGGCCCACAATTGTCACGGCAAAAACTTTTGAACATCGCGGCAAAAGTTTGTCGACTATCACGGCAAAAAACTACGGCAGAATTCTGTGACAGCTACAGCTAAATTCTGCGTAAGCCACGGCAAAATCCCACAAAAATCACGGCAAAATTTTGAAAATACTGAGCCAAAAAAATAAACCCTATGGCAAAAATATGTAAAAACCACGGCGAAGTTCTTTGAAAACCTACGGCAAAAGTTTAGTTCGCCATCACCTCAACAGCACGACAATATACGGCGGAAGTAGATCTACTTGTGGAAGGGGTCGACGATGGTTCAAGAAGTTTCTTCTAACCAAATTTCTGATTGTAAGTAGACAAATAAGTTTGAAATCCATTTTCCATGATTTAATTTTTTTATTATTATGGCTTCTTTCTTGAAATTTGAGCCAACAAGCTCCTAGGTTTCGTCTATCGCTCCTCCAGGGACATTAAGAACACAAGAACTCGCCGCACGTTGTTCTTGGCTAACGTATATCCCCATCTGGGGTACGCTACCCAAGTATGGTCTCCTCAGTCAGCTGGACTCATCAAACAAGTGGAACGCATACAACGCCGAGCAACCAAGTATGTGCTGAAGCTTCCATTCCGCTGCGACATAGAATACAAGGAAAGACTCGAGCTAACCGAAGTGTTGCCAATCTCTTATTGGCATGAAATGCTAGACATCATCTTCTTTTTTAAAGCGATTAATGGATTGGTTGACATAGAGAATGATGTGCTACCG